CGAGCTTCAGCGTCTAATATTTGTGAGAGCTCGGAAGACAGAGGCGGACGGGAGAGACGGTAATTCCGCCGTATATCCCGGTAACCAAATTTCCTCGCTCGCGCTCTCCGTTTTTCCCTCCTTCTTCTTCTTCTTTTTCTTCTTCTTCTGCGTCCTCGATATATTTCAAGACGTAGCAGCTTGGAAATCTGCGCGAGGAAACGGTCAATCTCGTTCTCTCTCTCTCTCTCTCTCTCTCTTCTCTCTCTCTCTTTTTTTTTTTTTTTTTTTCTCTCTCTCTCTCTCTCTCTCTCTCTCTCTCTCTCTCTCTCTCTCTCTCTCTCTCTCTCTCTCGCTCTCTCTCTCTCTCTCTCTCTCTCTCTCTCTCTCTCTCTCTCTCGCGAGAGGCGTCGACGACGCGAAGGCGCGACAGTGTGAAGAGGAAAATAAAAAGAAACGCCCTCTTTATACAAATTCTGAATCCCGCTCATCTTTTCCGGCTGATCGACAATGATTCTCAGTCTCTTTCTCTCACTCTCCCTCCTTCCTCATCATCCTCCCCTATTTATAAATTGCTAATGTACGAGGGACAATTTCTTATTCTTTCTTAATCTTACGCCGTAGCGATAAATCATTACGCCAGTTTTTGCCGTTTAATAGTTCGGCGAAGGGATTTAATGATAAATTATGCTCGTGCAACTTTGCTCTCTCCTCTGCGTGCATTCTCGTTTAGTTATAAAGGGTGTCCCAAAATTCGCGCAAGATTTGAATTTTGCGCCATTTGTGCGGTAAAGTGTTGCCAACGAAAAGAAAAGACAGCGTGACAGCTGACAGTTCAGGGTTTTTTAAATGGAGTGTTACACGAAAGAACAACGCGTTTACATTGTTCATTTCAACGACAAGTGGATGCTGATTTTTCGAACAAAATCATCTTCAGCGATGAGGCTCATTTTCATCTTGATAGCTTGGTTAATCGACAAAATTGTCGTATTTGGGGTTCAGAAAATCCACGAGTGATTGTTGAGAAACAAATGCATCTATAACGTGTCACTGTTTGGTGCGGATTTTGGGCTGGAGGCATCATCGGAACATTCTTCGGAAGAAAATGCGGCTGGTCAGGCAATAACAGTTAATGATGCTCGCTATCGCGACATGATAAACCAGTTTTTTGTGCCTAAATTGCAAGATATGGATGTGGACGACATGTGGTTTCAACAAGAAGTGGTGCCACATGCCATACAGCCCGAGAAACAATTCAATTACTGCATGAGTCATTTCCTGGTCGTGTAATTTCCCGTTTTGATGATCAGATCAGGCCGTCCAGATCATTTAACGCCATTGGACTTTTTTCTTTGGGGTTCTTTGAAGTCTAAGGTTTATGCCAACACGTGGGGTTTATATCCCACGACCACCCACACCTTGAAGGAGGAAATTGAGCGCTGTATCAACGAAATTCGACCACATTTATGCAAAACGGTCATGAAAAATTTCAACAAAAGAGTGCATATGTGCCAGCAAAGCCGTCGAGGCCATACATAACCCTATACTGTATACTTTATGAATCAATAAGAAATTTACAATTTTTAATTATAAATCTGTGTTTTCTATCAAAATTACTTCTTGCGTGAATTTTGGGACACCCTTCGCTACATTCTTCAATAATTTTCTTATATAAGCTCATTACGCGCAGTGCGATTTCTGTTATCTCAGTCTTCAGTCTGATTACTGTACGTTGCTACGTGTGCTTCAAACTTTCCCGCAAAATTTTCCCGTCTCACAGCGATGCATATTGCGCTTTCATTAATAAGCATTCTTCGGCTTTGGCACTCGGTATAATTTACGTTTAACCAACTGTAACCCCGAGGGACTTTGTAACTCCGGGGGTAAAATAAATTCCGCTCTACTCCACTCTGTTCCCTCTTTTGCTCCCTCCGTCGAAACGACAATGTTCATGCGGCAGGCTGCAGTAAACAAACGTCGGACGTTGAAGTACCGGCAGCGCGATTTATACGCCGACAGCGAGACTCGATTTCTTCGTTCCGGCGCGAAAAACTCGCGGGATGCTCCTTAACGGTCCCATATTACCGGGCGGACAAAAGAGGAAGTTCGGCCGGATTACGAAGGCTGAGCGGGAGAAGAAAGAAGATGAGGACGAAGATGAAGACGAAGAAGAAAAGCGGGAGGAGAAAAAAGAAAAAGATAGACAGAGAGAAAGAGCGAGAGAGAGAGAGAGAGAGAGAGAGAGAGAGAGAGAGAGAGAGAGAGAGAGAGAGAGACAAGAGAAGAACGATAAGCAGCACCAGATCGAGCGAGGAAATGGCGGAGGAGAGTTTGGCCGAACTGCGTAAAGTTTTCATTAGGGATATTGGCCTCCTTTTTCCTCGGCCGTCCTTTCCGCTAGCTTTCATCGCGCCGGGGAATAAAGTCGACCGCTCAGCCGTGGTAATTTTAATCTAACAACAGAAGGAAAGTTCCTGTGTGTGTGTGCGACGCGCCAGCGACGCGCCGGCGGGAGCGAGAGATCCGCGGGATAATCGAATACGAGAGGTTGATCCCGCGCCGGCTATGATACACTCCGGTATACCCTCGCCATCCTAACGACCTAATCATCGTGGTGGTTCTAATTAACGCTCAGGGCCATCGGCGATGTACGACGCAAGTACAAGCGAACGGGTAAGGTTGGGCTCGCGCTATCAGTCTAGACGGCGGCGGACAGAAGTTCCGAGGTCAATCCTCCGTTAAACTTTCTTTCTCCTTTTCTTTCTTTTTCTTCTTTTTTTTTTGTTTTTTTTTTTGTTTTTTTTTCTTTAGAATGATTGCGATGTAACGGCGAGACTGCGACTGCGAGCGATACCGAAGCAACGAGGAATGTTCTCACGCGGCAAAGACTGCTTCGTGATAATAATAACGGCCGATAATCACTCTTAATAATTATTTACTGAGCGACCGTAAATCGACACATCGCGCAAAATTATCAACTTTTTCAACGTCGTCACGCGTTCAGGATCAAAATTTCGCCGTCGGCTAACGGAGAGACGCCGCTTCCCGGAGAGACGAGAATTTTCCCCCGCTCTGCTTATTTGGTTACACGACCTGGGAGTTTCTTTACGTGTCCTGTCACTTGAGCTCCTGTCACAAGCGATTACCGCACGAGCTCATAAGTAGCGGCTGGCAAATGCGACCGCTCGAGATGCGCTGCAAACTTCATGCGGGGAAGAAGGAAGGATGTTGCCGGCCGTTTTGCAAGCGAGTTTGCAAGCGCGTACCACCTTCGATTCATTGACGGATCGTTTCGTCCGGTCGAATTCGACATTGGCTTCGCGAAGACGCCGCCGCGGCCGAGGTTGACCGATCGCTCTTCTTCGAGTCTGACGTCTCCAGACTTGCTGCGTTCTCTCGCTGTTTGAGCTCGATATCAAATTTTTAACGAGATACGTTCACGCCCGCGCTCGCGCTCGCGGGACCACGGCGGTCTCTCCGGCCGCGGCGGAAACGTCGAAACGTCGCGCGCTAAAACGTCGCGCCGGCCGGAAGAGGAGGATTTTCACAGCGCGAGTTTCCAGCGAACAGGCCGGAATAAAGCGACGTCGGCGGAGAATTCCCTTTCTCCCTCAGAGACGAGCGGCGAGCTTTCGTCCCGCGTGACCGAAAACTCGCGCGCGGCGTTTCGCTTGTTAATTATTGCCACCGGCGCGGCGGTCTCACAATAAAAGTCGCGCGGCAAGACGAAGCGGTGAACTTTCGCCCTCTGCCCCCTCCCTCCCTCCCTCCCTCCCGCTGAATTTCCCCCGGCATCGTTCGCCGCGCGAGCCCAGCGGCGCGCCCGAATGCGGCGCGATAACAATGATTTACGGCGCAATAATTATCCGTCTCGCCGCTCGTGGCACGCGGATCCTTACGTCCTTGATGAAGGAGCCGACGTTCACGGCCTTCGTTCCTTTTTCCACGCTATTTTCCCGCTTCCCGAGGGTCGGGACGGGCGCGCAATTTTGCCGAAAGTCCTCGTCGTCGCCGCGAAGACGGATGCGAGAGCACCAGCGGCATCTTCGAACGATAGCCGAGTCCGGTCTCTCCCGTGGAATTACGCCACGGTAATTCGGTGTACGACGATACCGGTGTGTCCGTTAATTGTGCACGCAGGTCCGAGTTATCTCTCCGCGGAGCTAACACGTGCGCGCGAGAGAGGGACTCTCCTCCGTTGCTCCTTGGGGAGGCCAGCGTTACATATCAACGTCGCGTTACGTAAGCGGTTAAAAGCTCAGATAACCGATTAATAGCTTCCAATGTATCTCTCGTGCGCGAGACTACTCGCGTCTGATTTATTGAGCCCGCGCACGTTCTTATTATTCCCTCGGCAATGAATATTCAGCTCGACCGTCAAGCCGCAGTCGGTAGTCCTTGGAGTGAGCTTCCCAAATTCCCGCGAACAACGATTTGTTACCGCGGACTTGTGTCCATCCTAATTTTTGCGATACGCCAGGATCGCTTAAACTCGTACCTTTATTTATGTTTATTTATGACCTCCCCGAACACACATTTGCGACAATTGAACTTACCCAACTTTGCGAATGATCATATTTATTATAATTAAATTGTTGGTGCAAACAAGTCCCAGGGTTGAGAACAAACGAATTATATAACGAAATGATTTTACGGTTAAGGAATATAATGTAAATATAAATATTTTTAATACAACTGCAAAAGATAATAATAATAATAAGTAATTTCTAAATATCCCCCATTTTTTTACGATATAATAAATAATAATAAAGAAATACCAAATACTTTTCAAGTATCGAACAACCAAAGAATTTACCACGAAGAAAATAGACAAAAAGTGTACAAAAATTGTTGCTTTATGTAATTCGTCTAAATAATTTTAACGTTAAGGTATCGTTGTGTCAAAATAGTTTTGGCATAATTCCCTAAACGGCTCCAAAATATTCTCAATCGAAAGAAGTGTACGGAAGAAAAATGATATTTTCTTTATTCTCTGACGAGCTGAACCTTTTGTGCCTCAGGTACCCGTCGAGCGAAGAACCCTGCCCACCGACCTGCCGGGGCCATCTCGTCGACGACCGTTCACCAAGAGGCACTCGCCCTCGGCAGAGGCGTGCTCCTCGTCCGGCGGCAGCGGCAGCGGCGGCGGCAGCAGCGGCGGGCGGCGGCGGCGGCGGTAGCGGCGGCGGCGGCGGCGGTGGCGGTGGCGTTGGAGGTACCGGCGGCAACGTCGTCACCACCGGCACTGCATCCGGAATGCAGACGTCGTGCTCTTTACCGGAAACTCCAGTGTTCGCCAGGGGCAGCGACATCCCTAGAACGCCGCAGCACGCCGGCAACCCCACGCAGTCGAGACGGCAACCACCCGGCTGGTACGCACCGACCACGGCTACCGGGTAATTAGCAGAAATCAACGTTCAGTTTCTTTACGTAGAAAGAAACCCGACGAGCGAGAGAAGCGAGCGATATCAGCTCCGGCCGGCTCATGGAAATGAATTTCTCTCGTAGGAAGCGGGGAAAGAGTGCGATGCCATTATTAATTGGATTGCTCTCCCGAGACATGCACTGCAATATATAAAAAAGAGAATATGTAGAATATGTCTTTTATTGGCTCTCGTCGACTTCTTTCTTACATCTTACGATTCAGCAGAGTCTCTCGCTCTCTTATTATCACGCAAAAGAAAAAGAGTTCAGCGGCATACGTGTTTAAATTGTTTAATCTAGTAGCGACATTGCAATTTATATTTTATTTTCCCGTTTCGTATTGTCGGCAAATATCGATACAAATTATTTTTAAATACGACCAGATTTTTAGAATTGCGTGGATCGTGAGAGATACACGGAGAAAATATCGCAGTAAAAAGTGCACAAAATTTTTATTATCATGGTCCATAAAAGTATGATCGGAATTGTTGTTTAACAATACTGCACATTCGTATAAAAGTGTTATGCACGCTTGACCTTTCACTACACAATATTGTGATCACCTGAATGTGTTTTGTTCTTTTTCTTACTTCCATTTCTATAGTAACTCAGATTACGACATCGACCCGGCTTTACAATAAATATCATAAAGAGAAATATAATTCTCACGTAATTTTTACTGCGATATTTTCCCCGTACAGTATAGCTAATAGAGCGGTCCAGGAACCTCTGAATATTATAAATATTATAAAAATTTTAACCACCAGAAACATCAAAACGCATCATAGTCTTTCCGCCAGTCAAGAGCATTATAATGGTGAACAAAGAAGTTAATTGCAAATATTTTCTACGGTCGCCCGCGCTTAGCCAATTTAGCTTCTGATGAAAGAGAGAGAGAGAGAGAGAGAGAGAGAGAGAGAGAAAGAAGGAAAGAGAAAAAAAAAGAAACTCAATTCCGAGTCCCCGCCGGCTTCCACACGCGTGGGAGTCGTGTCCCGTTAGGCGTTTCACTGACCCCGGTCTCGTCCTCTCTCGTCTACGCAGTTACCGGCGAAACAATCCCGGCCTGGAGCAGGCCATAATCGGCACGGAGCTGCTGCGGCTGGCGGGCGGGCCGAATCGCGGATGGTACCCGACCAGGAAGGCGAACCAGCCGCGGCCGGCCTCGATCGAGCACCTGGAGCGGCTCAACAACGCCTACGACGCGCGACTGCCTGGCACCGGGGACCAGAGGAAGCCGCTCACCCTGCCCACGAACATCACGCCCAACAAATACTTCGGCCAAAGTAAGCACAGCTCCGCCTCCAGCACTCGCGAGGCGCTACGGAGGGTCACTAGCTTGCTCATCAAGAAAGGTAAGCGCCGGAGATTCGCGCTAGTAAAAAAAATGAAAAAGAAAACAGAAAGACAAAGAGAAACAAAACAAAAGTTCAAAGCAAGAGCACCGCGCCGTAAGAGGCTCGCACGTCGCTGGCATGTGGAGAACACGACGTCGTCGGCGGATCCTCTCGCCGAGAGCTCGCGACGAGCCTTCCGCGTCCGCGGGTGAGTCTCTCCCGCGGCCTCCTCTCGGGCGTCTCAGCGGCGCTATCGCGGCCGCGATCGACTTCGCGCCTCAGGCGAGTCAGGCGAAATGATCAGACTTCGATCCCCGTGACCGGTGGCTTGATTTGACACGGCTCTTCTGAGGAACTGTCTTTCGACGTATTATCGCGCTCGCGATAGAGCCGCTGAGGGGCCGTAGGACTGTCACTCAAGACGCGATGGTAGCCGCGACTCTCGCCTGGACGGAAGGTTTTGTAAGCGATAAGTGGCAATCATGTTTGGGATGACGTGTATTGAATGGATGGCATGTGCTGGTTCTCCTTGGTGTCTTTTGTCAACAGCATTGAATCGCTCGGAAATGTAGTTATTTTCCTCAAATTTTGGAAGTAAGCTCGTGTGTGATCTTTTACGCATATTGTATGTGAGTGGAAAAATTTTTTTGTGTTTCTCTAAAATATCACGACTATCCGACTTTATGGCAGTATTTTAATAATATGCACATATATAACATACCGTTAAATAGTGGAAAACATTGGCGGTGGCTTGGCAGAATGAATAAATCATTTTTAATAAAATTTCTTGGTCCATTCTTCCATCACGAAATCCATTGAAACTTTTGCACTCACACAATGAATTTTTGTAATATGATGTCCTTTCAAATCGCTGTATGCCTCACAAACTGTTACTCAAAGGATATCACTCTCGTCCAAGAGAATAATTTTTATTCATTTCATTTTATTTACGCAAAAATTGAGAAACGGAACAATAAGTGTTCTTGAGCGCGATGCTCGTTTCAGTTAATTAGTAATGCGTTCTAATACTCGGAAATCAACGTCAACGAGTATAGAAATTGTATTGCTTTCGTTTGAAGTGCATTTTAAAGGAAGGAAATACGTCTCGCACGTCGGTTTAGCCGATACGCCCTCGTGATTGTCATTATCGCTCGGACAAAACGCCCTACGTCGTGTTTTTCTGGAGATTTGACTATTTGAAAGCCCGTAATCCTTGACAAGTAACCTGCGAAAGAGTTTTCTGAGTCTTGTATCTTGTGTGACCTTTCGTGGCATTTGAGTGCCATCGATCTGACGCTATCTTGTTCTTCGACATTTCGGAATGCCTGCTTCTAACTCTTCCTTTCTCCCACTACTATTACGAAACTGTGAGAAAGTAGTTCTCTCTCTCTCTCTCTCTCTCTCTCTCTCTCTCTCTCTCTCTCTCTCTCTCTCTCTCTCTCTCTCTCTCTCTCTCTCTCTCTCTCGCTCTCGCTCTCGCTCTCTCTCGCTCGCTCTCGCTCTCTCTCGCTCTCTCTCGCTCTCTCTCTCTCTCTCTCTCTCTCTCGAGCTTAGTACGTATTCATCGATTAGTCAATGTTTCTTATGCGATGTTTTTTCAACGTGTTTCCTGCGTTTGACGTTAATTACGGATTCACGCAACATGGGGTAAAGCAAATAATCACCACATTATTCACTGTCCACTTTTAATTGAAGTTTATCGATAATCGACTCCCAAATAGCTTTGACAATTTTTCTATCCACCTGTGACATTTTTCTCACATTCACTCTGTCTCCTCTAAATATTTACAGCAATCTCTCTCTCTCTTTTTGTTTCTACGTCGCTCTTTTTCTCTTAGCTGTTGCATGCGATACCTCTGCCATCGATTCTCGTCATATTCTTCAACTTATAATTTATCAATAACGTTAACATACTAATAGATACTTTAGTAGTAAGATGCATGCTTAACACGTAGTTTAATTTGGGAATGCTGTAGGAAATTTTACTTCGACGACGATATCTTCTGTGTTAGATGCTACGTGAATGCCCATCATCTGCATAAACCGACTACGCAACTTGTTTTGTTGTAAATTTGTTTTTGGAACTTCAACATCATACGTTCATGGCATAGTTTAAAATTTGAAACGCCCATCTTTCTGAACGAAATTGTTACCACTTCTATAGCAGGGATCTTCTTATCGACTGTCAGTAAGGAGTAACCTTTCGTTACTCCGTCGATAACTTTAACATCAACCACACACATTTTGTTACAATCTTACCAACGTAAGCTAACGGAATGCCCGTCTAAAATTTCCCTAAAGTGCATTTCTCAGTTTTCATAGATTTTTTTATATTTGATAGAATACGACAAGATAACGTTAAAGTTTGTGTGTTCCGGATAAAATATTCTGACTATCGATAAAAATAGAGCCAGTTTTGAAGACTAATCTTACCGACTGTTTCAATCACCCAGTATATAAGTGCCTAAGTAATTAGCTTGCAATATGGTATTAACTTTATAATTTATCATTCTCCAAATCAGAATGATAATAAATCATAAAGTCAAATTAAAAATATGGAAGGAAAATAATTGAAGCGTTATCTCCGTACGGTATTGACGACAAGGAGAAGTCCCCAGGTTCCCCTAGGTCTTAGGGAATATCAGTCGCGACAGGTGGTACCGTTCAGGACACCCCCACCCAAAGAATCGCACGACTTTCGTCGTACCACGTGTACCACGTGCACCGTAACGTGGCGCAACCTGGTGACGTTCGGACGAGCGATCTTCCAGCTGAATGTGACCGACCTTGAAAGCTCGTCCTCGTGGTTCAGACCGAGAGAGCGGCGAGAGGGGGCACAAGGCCTCGGCCATGTTACACGTTGCGAGCCGACCCCGTGCGCCTCTACCTCGAGCAGTGACGTAACCAGCCGAACTGACACCCCTTTCTGACCCTCCCAACAACTTCTCTTCAGCCGCGAGCGTCTCGATGCCAATTAAACTACCGAGATATCTCTGATAAGTCAATCAGTCGCTCATAAACGCACACAGCGCTACATGCGCGCATAAAGCATCCCACAAAATTCCACAAATATGGATTTTTTATACAGCAACCTCACACCGTTAAAGACCTCACCGCGTGCCTTGATGGCGCTTCGACCTCGCTTTCCCGGTATCTCGCGTTCGTCTAGTCGCGCATAGACGCAACTTCGTCACGATTGCGTCACAGGGGGGAAGGGGGGAGCTCCCACGATGACACCGCCATCCGCGTGCCCCACGCGACGTCCGGTCGCAGGCCATTGCGGACGCGCGTCGTGTAACGCAAAGCATCGGCTCGCCCTCAGCGCGCGACATCGCCGCGGGAAGGAAAATAAACGCTGGAAATCCGCAAGAAAAGTCTCGGGGCGCCCGCGGGCTACCTGCGCTCGACGACGAAACTGGATTTCCGCTAGGGCGCGGGCGAGCCGCGAGCGGGGGCCGCTGGGTAAGGGGGGCGCACGCTGCATTGTGCGTGGGACATCCCCGCGCTCTCCAGAGCGAGAAAGACTGAGTGAGAGAGAGTGAGAGAGAGAGAGAGAGAGAGAGAGAATGAGAGAGAGAGAGAGAGAGAGAGAGAGAGAGAGAGAGAGAGAGAGAGAGAGAGAGAGAGCGCATACGGCCCCGCCGTCGTTCGGAGAGGTGCCTCCTTCGCACTCGAGGGTTCCCGTTATTGATTCGTCCGACGGAAGGTTCGTCCGCAAATGTTTCCGCGTCCGCCGCCACTTCCACCGCCATCGCCGCCGCCGCCGCCGCCGCCGCCGCCGCCGATTTTGCCTGCGCGTTTGCGCGACCCGCCTATACGCCTCGTGAAATTTTCAGACTCGCACGACTCGTGCGGAGCCCGCGGCTCCGTAAGTCCCGCTTCGAGCCAAGTATTGTACGGGCTCTTCGGCTAACGGAACTGAGAAAGAGAGAAAGAGGATAGGGTGTTGGAGGGAGAGACGAACAGGCCGACCGGATAGGAGCAGGGATCTCCCCTCCCGGCCTGGGAGAGCCTTAGGGCCGACGGATGCACCGATATCGGTGAAACGCTTAATACCGCTTTTCGGCTAATTTACTCGGGTGGCGGCAGGTCTAAATGAAGGAGTAATTTAGTCACCGAGTTCTCGCGGTCAGTATACGAAGGTGAAGGGTGCGCAGCGAGCGAGAGTCGCGCGTGATTCTTTGCGCTCGCCTGAGGTGCCCGGCGAGTCGGGGAACTCTGGAATTCATTCTGGAAGCTGAAATTCGATCGGGACTTCCGGCTCGGTTTCGCATTAGGAATCAGGCGTTCGTTCAGTCAGGAGGGTGCGCGGTTTCGTCGGCGCAATGACGCCAAGGGGGTTTCGCGCTGCTCGCTATCGCGAGACTCGAAAGGTTACCTTTTTATGGATATCGCTTCTCCGTCACGAAATCGTCGGGATGTATTTCGGGCTTGCAGACGATCGAAGTTCTCGCGGACTTGACGAACGCGAGGAGGAACTCCTCGCGCCGCCGGATAATTTCCAGCGGACTTCACTTGAGCGAACTGAGCTTCGACTCTGTTTGGGTATATCTTTCTGCTCGCCGACACAATGACGAGAACTCCTCCGCGCGGCGTATCGACACTGCGCTCTATAAATAACCGCCGGCGATAACGCGCGCGATTTAATGCATTCGCGACGTCGCGCCGCGAAGTCCTTTTCGTCGCTCCCGCCCGTCACGTCGTCCGAATTAATCGGAGCGATCTTCCCCTTCTCCCTCTCTCTCCCTCTCTCCCTCTCTCTCTCTCTCTCTCTCTCTCTCTCTACCAGCTTGCCGCGAATTCTTCGTTGGTACGATCAATCGATAAAAAAGACGTCGAGATGCAAATAGACGTCAACAATTCGAGCCGGGCGAGTCGCGAGCAAAAGAGAGGAATCCACCGGTCCTCTTCAACTCGCACACGCGTAAAGTGCGCGGACTTTGGATACTTGAATGAGACAAAATCGATAACGGCAATCGCGCGCGTGTGCACGATAAAGTATCGTGTCCCGTAAACGC